AGTCTCCAACGAAAAACATAGAGGTGTGATATCCTAATTCCGCTGTTAAAAGAAGATAAATAATAACTGTATAAATATTTTATTCCCAGGTTGCGAATTTCACATGATAAGAGACGGCTTACAGGCATCATCAAACTGATAGCTGCCGAGAAACCTAAAAGATTTGAGCAGCGTTGAATGGTACAGAAGGAGGTCATTAGAATCCATCACCATATAAAATGTCCAAAAGTGACAAAAACAGCAGCAAATTATCGCGGCACACTAAATACACATCGTTCGGAGTTTAGACCATTCTCACTCACAAACATTTCCCACTAAAGTAAAAAGAGATCGTCGCGATATTCCGAGTTTCCGTTACCAGTGGTCGACAGGCTTAATTCTCATGCAAAACCCAGTGTTTCGTCAACATTAATTCTTACGTTCACGGCTTAACCGACCGATAACAACTTACTTCAATGGTTTCTGGAATAGGTTAGTATCCCAACAACCGTTTGATCCGGGTGAATATCTAATTTGTGTATAATAGGACAACTCTCCTGTTCTTCTTACATGGAGTCCACGCGAGTTATTAGATCTGCAGTTTTCGTCAGTAAACTTAAAGAGAACACTGACCATGCATTTGCGCTGCACAATACAACCAGATGAACTAGTAGTCAGACACCCTTGTGGGTCCATTAAAGTAAAAGGTAATTGAGATGTGTGATGGTCTTACCCTATACATTTTGAGGTCCCAGCATGTTTTCATCAGCCCAGGACGCATAGACAGTGCCTAGGTGAGCGATGGACTCATCATCTGACAAGAGCTTATTAAATGAGGAACGAAAGACATAATGAACCTGCAGTACGTATGTCCTCAGGAAGCCGATTCCAGATGTGAAACTTATTGGGGAAGAAATTTCTCCACAATCTGGTTCCACTCATTTTCAGCCGGTAGATTGTGATCGCGTAATTAGCGAGTAGATGTTACAACCATTTTAATTTCCAAGCGACGTGGGTGCATTTTCTCGCGAATTAATTAATGGTAAAATATGGGACTCATTTCAAGTTGCCCCTTCCAGAGAGTTTCCAGCCCTAGCATCTTGCATCCGGAGATGTAGCCTAGGCAGCAGTCAGGTCCTCGTGTTCTCAGTGGAAAGTAGTAAGTGGAGCAAAACTAGTGGGGTTAAAAGCATCATAGCTGAAATTTGCCAGTAATTCGCTGATAATTACGCTTATCTTGGGGAGATCTTTGTATGCCATTCCACTGTGCAGTTAATAGACTACATTCCTCGATGGCTACAAACGCTTTCTCAATAGAGATGTCAGCTTATGCATCCTAGAACCACCTCTGAAGGCAGGGATATCTTCTTTCACTGCACGTTTCGCATGTAGTGTCTTAATAGGTCAGTAAATCTCATGAATTAAGCGCAGCAACATGAAGTCTTTCGACGAGTGGTATTGCGATGATAATTTCCTAAGTTTACTGCGGGACATTTTAGGGATACATGGGTTTGGCTCCTTAAAAACTTTAACTGTTTTCATGGGTGCAACAGTGCCTAGATGCAACTATATATTTCTGTAGAAAATTGAGAGTGTCTGTTAATGAGGCTGTGGCAAAGTAGTCAGCCCATGAAGAGTACCCGAGGAGCTCGATGAGTACTTCCCATTCCATATTCTTGTGGCTTCGGTGCCGAGTATGATTTGAAGATTGATTGTTTCTCTCATTGGGAGGAAGAATTGGCAAGCGGCAAAACGTCATCCCATGGTCGCTGTTAGAGGCTTCGCTACTAACGTAGGTAGTGACAAGGATGATCTAACAGCAAAGGATTACTCCCAGCGTACTACCTCTACGCCTGGGCTGCTGTACGTATTGCTTCGAGCCGAAGATATCCATAGTGGTAAGTATTTCATCAGATCGTGGTGTGCCGCAAAGGTCCCCCAGTTAACTTCAGGGGAGTTAAAGCCACCTGCAATTAGTTTAAAGTCGACAGTGATGGATCCAGTGCAGGCAAATGATATAGCCATCAATCCAACAGTTTCTTTTGTTGAACGTGGCTCTCTTTACATACAGCCTGTGAGGATTTTGTAGTTAGCGCCGTCTATAATGACCCAAAGTGAGCCCGGCGGATCACTGAAGATATCATCTCCAATCTTATTTGAGGTAGCAAGGCTACATACTCAGATCAAACAACCTCTACCACGCTTGTGGCCACCGTCAATGCGATAAAGAGTATGGCCATTTATATACAAGCCTATGTCTGGGATTGAGTCAGCACGCTATGATTCAGTAATCAGTAATGCTGTGGGTTTGGTTGGTAAAACCATTGTGCTTGGGTAAGATATTTTCTTAGGTGACGAGCGGACGGTATTAGTTAGAAGCGTAAAAAGGCTACTCTGGCTTGTAAAGTAACTCACGCTAACGCGGTAACGTTGAAACTATGCGCTACTTTTACACGTAATCCCTTATAATATCTTTTTGTCGATTTCTTTTTATCCTCAGCTCGTTGTTACTGTAAATATGTAGTAACATAACGACTTACCCTGCCTGGGTAATTCAAGGGTACATTGTTATCTACAGACAGTATATCCCCATTCTTTTGGACTGCATACCTTTACCGCCAATCTCCAATTTCACTTAAAACCTATCGTAAGAATGGGACGATCGAAAGCAAAGCCCTCGAAGATAGATGGCTGTAGCGATAAGAATACAAGAGTTGGTCCCACTAATATTCCAGGCTGTAACCCGAACTTTATCGTGCCATACGATCCAGGTCTCAACGGACTTACGTGCTTTACAACGCTCGTCAGGGCTGAAGACATTATGCCGGTCATGAATAATAACATCAGGAAAAATGAAAAAGAAATTGACAGTATTAAGTCTATGATAAATAGAACAAAGAGAGTAGTTGAGGCCTTCCAGCCCCTCGCATATCTTTTTAGGAAACACAACAACCTAGTCCCAAACCATACTGAAGAAGCTGAAAAGCTAACAGATTACTTGGCACCTGAAGTAATGAAGAGGCTGGCACCTTCTCAACAGGCCATAGTACACAATGTTCCGGATACCATATATTTAGATGTCGGAAAGGATATTAAACTCACGTAACATGACGCCCATGCACTGCGACTGTAAAGGCCTCCACAAGAAAGCAGAACAGTCAAGTTGCTCCACTCTTTTCAAGTTCGCCACCTCATATGACGCCAAGAGATTCGTTAATTATAAGGATCACTTAAGGCTAAACGGCAATTTTAAAAGTATTATAACTGTACACGACAAAACTTCTTCGGCGCAGAAGACAAAAGAGAAAAAGTCCTACCAAACTATGAGGGTGCTGGATGCACTGAGAAACAATCGAATAGTGCTGCTATGACCAGTGATCCTATTGCCTTAGACACTCTGGTATTAAAGAAATCCCAAGTGGACTTGGACCGGAGTAATCAGGATTCTTTAATTTCTCATGAAACCCTAACTACCAGTACCAGCCTTCCTAAGGTAACCACTGACAGGAACCCTTTAGCTGATAGTAACGCCACTAGGCAAGGACCTGTGGGTAAACCATGTACTTCAGACCCAAAAAGCTCCCGGAGAAAGCCATTTTAAGCGCATTTCGTCTAACGATAGCGACGAAAACTTCTAACGTAGTTGCTATGGGCAAAGCCGTTAGTGGATCCATGGTAAGTAGGGCATCTCGTAAAGAAAACCCACCCAAAGGGCATGTTACACACCTAACCTCAACCGCTAGAACGAGACACCATAATAACTTGGAGGCATCTGACATAAGACACCACCCTAGATCACGTTAACCCGGCCACCAGGGCCCCAACAGGAAACCATGTGGCACACTTAATACCGTCATGTCTCACACGTCACATATACCCCACCCAAACCTGCATCGGCACCCGGATGGCCCTGGCCAGTGCTATGGGAATGCACATAATTACTCCCCCAATGCCGTCTTTGCGTTTGAGCCTAGTCAAAAAATTTTTGGAATTCCGGACAACACGTACGATCCATGGTTCACAGGATCGTTTCACCCTCCGGAAACGCAAGATTGGAGCTACCATCCTCAATTTGCACCGATGATAAACTACACTGCACGTCACCAGTAAGAACGAACAGCAAGTCAACTACGTGCATACACCCTCAAATAGAAGGTGATCATGTCGCCGGACAATAAAACTCCACCGGTCACATCGCCAATCACCACCGCTGAGTTTCATCATGTCCGCAACGCAAGCAGCGCATCGTCAAATTAATTAGGTATAGGAAACTTCTCTAACCAACTAGAGGTGCAAGATACTCTAAAACACTTGACAAGTCATAGTAACCTTTACGCACTCCTACTCATCAATCCACACTCGTTGCCGAAGAAAATTTCTGACTTGAGAACGATAGTCTTGCTAACTAAACCTACAGTGATACCGGTCACTGAATTATGGTGCCCCACCTCAGTCCTTGATGTGGACCTGAGCGTAGACGGTTTTACACTTTATCGCACTGACCGCGATCATAAGCGTGGAGGAGGTTGTCTGATTTATATATGTAGTCTTGTCACAGTCTACAAGATTGAAGATAGTACACCAGATGCTGATTGAATATGGGTTATCATAAACGGTACTAATTATAAAATCGTCGTAGGCTGTGTTTATGGAACGCCACGTTCGTCAAGGGAAACTGATGAGCTTATTGCTCAGTCATTTGCCCATGCTGCCTCCATCAGTGCTGACTTCAAACTAGCTGCAGGAGACTTTAGCCAGCCAGGAGTTAACTGGGACACCAGTTGTGGCCCACAGCACTACTATGAAACACTTACCGTCTTAGATTTCCATGGATGGAGACAATATGTCCATTCACCCACAAGTGGGAGCAGTACGCCGGATCTAGTCTTTTTCCTTGACATCGTCCCAGTCTTCACGTAGGTTAGCGGCGAATTCTCTAATAGTGACCACAGAATGCTTTGCTGTTGCCTGCCAATATTCCCTCTTCATGAGAAGAGCGAGAAATCCACGAGAAATATCTTGTACCGTAGCTACAAAAGTAATTTAATAATATATTTCATACAACAAAGGTTACATGAATACAAACCAGTTTACAGGTTTGATCACTTTGGTAATGAGAGATGACTATTATGTACAATGTTATGCTATACATTAGATGCTGTGATTTATGGCATATAGGAGGCATGTTGAAGCAGGCTCAGTTCGAATTTGAAGATTATCCGGTCATCGTTTGAATCATCCAATATTCTTGAAGGTGAGGCCGCATCACAGTCATGACCTTGAGGTGTGCGCGTTCGTCATCAGGTTTCGGTGGCAATATTTCCCGCTGACGAATGCGATTTGTAGGATTCCATTTGAATGCAGGACTGGTTAAGTAAATCTGAAAAGTGAATAACAAAAGCGAGCAGCAGGCGAAATTTGTAACAGGAGCACAAAAATACGCAGGAGTAGATCGACCATGATACATCTGGGTGAGTTTGTACTGACTATTAAACTTACTTGAGGAAGTGTCCAGAACCAACTGTTTAGAGGTAAGCTTAGGTGGAAGAAGATGAAGGTGCGCACGACAGTAATGAAAGTCAGTCTGAAGCTGAAGATATCACTACGAAATAGAAAGATTAGAGGATATTTGACCAGGTATTAACTTGTTATATACCTATGTACAAGCGTATGATGAAGTTATAAACATTTAGGTGAAATTCGTGGTTTTTTTTTTTCTTAGGACCACCACCCTTTATCTGGTCACGAGGGGATGATCATGGTGTTGCCTGTTGAGCATTACCATATCGGGTCTACCGAAACTATGTTGGTGCAGAGTACTTAGATGTAAGTACTGATGACAAAGGGCAAATAATAAAGAGTTGCATGCTATGAAAATGCACCGACAGACAGTTCTTTTATCTTTTCGGAGTAGAGAGATTACTTTAAGGGGCGATTTTTAGGAAATAGGTGTTAAGTCGTGAGATCGGTTAGGTTGTGAAGAAAAGTAGGTTACATTTGAGTATCTAATAAGTTCACTGTAGCATATCGTGTCGCACTCCGCTTCCTGTTCACTCTTGGTCATTTTTTTTCTAAGAAATTAGATTTTAACTTAACTATTGCGTTTAGTTTTCGGCATTGTATACTTATGTCATTGCTGTTAGTCTCCCTTGAGTCTAGGTACCAGTAGTACCTTAGTGCATGGCATTACCGTTTGTGGTTTGGCCGTCAACGAATTGATGAGATTCGTTAGATAGGAGGAATTTACTAAGTAGTCGTTGAAACTGGCCGAGCGAACGGCATGCTCGTATAGGAGCGGGAAGTTTGTTCCACAGCATACTGTATTGCGTTATGAAAAACCTACATCGAAGTTTTGAGCGATACTTATTTATTGGGATGATGTTCTCGCTATTACGCAGATTATATGCCTGTGTTGTTTTAAAAGTGACAGCACATTTCGTTTTAGGGTTTGTAAATAAAAGACGAAAAAGAAGTGTTAAGTTGAGCTTCAGGCGTCTCAGCCAGAGTGATTCTAGTCCTAGTTTTTTGCATCTTGCTTCGTAAGGAAGTCCTTCGTTATGTATTAGTAGGCGCCGAGTAAAGTTCCGTTGAATGTTCTCTACTCGAATTCTGTCCGACACATTCATGCTACCATAGATAACGGTGCAGTACTCTAATATTGGGCGAACCATAGCCTTGTACAGTATAAGTTTTGCCTCAGGTATGAGTATGTTTCTGTGTAGAAGACCGATGAGTCTTCTGCCCTTGGAAACTACTGAGTCTGCATACTCCGTAAAAGTCAAACTTCTGGAGTAAGTGATTCCGAGGTCTTTCACAGTGTTGTATACCTGCAGTGCAATATCACCCAAGTGTAGCGTTACTTCTGGGTGGGATTTATTGAAATGGAGGATGCCACTTTTATTTGGGTTTAGAGGGAGCTGCCAGGTCTCGCTCCATATGAATATCCTCTTCAGATCTTCTTGTATTTGAGAGAAACCCTGTGTTAGTGCTGCAGGAGAAAAGCTGTAGACTATCTTCAAGTCGTCAGCGAAAAGGTAGGGTATGCCATTTCGGATAACACTGCAGATATCGTTTACATAGATTAGGAAAAGTATCGGTCCTAGCACACTACCCTGGACGACACCACTTTGTATAAGTCTAGGGGTGGAGTAGCAATTACTGAATTTTACTACTTGGAAGCGACCCTCTAAAGATGTTCTGAGCCAGGACAGTAACGGGTCTCGGAAACCATATGATTGCAACTTAGTGACCAGGCGTTTGTGAGGCACCTTATCGAATGCTTGCTTGAAGTCTAAGAAAAGGGTAGTTACAAATAGGCCTTGGTCACGCTTGCTTGTAACGTTGTCTAGATAGTCAAGATAGCTTGTAGTGCATGACCGGCCTTTCAAGAATCCATGTTGTGCTGGTGAGAGTAATTGGTTAGTCGTCATATAGTCGACAACTGCTTTCACAATCACCTTTTCCATAGTCCTGGATACTACTGACGTGATGTTTATAGGTCGGTAGTTTTCTATATTAGATGTTGGTCCACATTTATGCTTAGGACATATGTATGATAGTTTCCAGTTCTCAGGGTAATTGCCACTGGAGAGGGACGTATTAAAGAGCTTCAAGAGAATCAGCGGTATATCTTCGCCACCTCTTTTTAACAAGATGGTTGGAATTCCATCAGGCCCCGCACTGTATGAGGTTCGAAGTGATGCTATAGCTAGAGAAATGTTTTGTTTAGAGAAGAGCACTGTACTTATGGAGTGAGTTGGTGTTGACGGTGCACCAATGACTTTTATTTCGTCCTCTTGTGTAAAGCAGCTAGCAAACTGGTAACCGAACAGCTCGCTGATTTGTAGTGGGTTATCGTAGAGGATGCCGTTGTCCATGATTAAACTAGGGGTACTATTTCTGGAGCTACTTATCCGGGTTTTCATCAGTCTCACTAGTGCTTCTGTATTACTAGTTTTACTACATTGGATGCGTTCTTGTTTAACGGCTTCTATTACTCTTTCTGCCTTGAATGTGTCGTATGTGTCTTTGAGTGTGACAAGCGACGAAAAGTCATTCGACTTATAGTACTCTCTGACATGGTTTCGCATGCGGATGCGTACTTTCTTTGGTATATAGTCAGCTCTGTTTTTCTTAATTTCTCTTCGGAGCGGTGGAGCAACATAGTCTTGAGCTGTGCCTATATATTCATAGAATAGATCACAGAGTTCTTTGGCTGAACTGTTGGTAAAGTAGGGGCTCCAATCTAGGCAGCGCAGAAACGATTGTAGTTCGTCCCATTTGGCATACTTGTAATTTCTAGTTAGTACTGTTCCTGACTTTTGGGCCACTTTTGTGCTGGTTATATTGAAGTATCCATATACAACCTTGTGATCGCTACCTGGAAGTTGTGTACCCACTTGGAGTTTTGTGGGTGTGGTTCCGTTTGTGAAGACTAGGTCCAGGACACTATTGTACCTGGTAGGGTGTTCCACATGTTGTTGCCAACCCTCTGTTTCAAGAATGCTTATGAATTTATCAAAGCGCTCTGGATAGCTAATTGGTCGCCACTTTATATCTGGCATGTTAAAGTCACCACATATAATTTTCGCTGTGTGTGGTAGTGTTGCCACACGGGCGAACACGCTTGTTAGCTTGTCGTCGTATTCGACTGAGGAGGAAGGGGGCCGGTAAATGCATCCTATTAGGAGGGAAGTGGAGCGAGTAAGTTTTGCGATAATCCATACTGAGTCGTCAATCTCGTTTAGCTCAGATGTAGGGCACTGCGTAGCAGTGATGTCAGACTTTACATAGATAATGCACCCTCCTCCCCTACCATGCAGTCTATCCTTCCTGAACAAGGAATAGTTGTCAATGGAGATCTCTGCGTCGCAAATATCATTGGTACACCAAGTTTCTGTAACCATTATCACGGACTGGAAGGTATTCATCGAGCTCCTCAGGTGCAGCCCATGGGATGAGTACTTCATAGCGGCCTCATAAACAGAGTCACTTTCGTTTTCCTATGGAAGTATTATGCTATTTTCAGATATCGCTGCTCCTATGAGAGCGGTTAAGGTGAAGAATGCGGACGAATACATCCCTCAAATACCTAGGAACAAATAACGGGAACTATCTTAGCTATATCATTCCTCTAAAGACTTTCTGGCGTTGCACTCAATCTACGACACTTATCAGGCAACAAAGACCTTATGTGAAGGAGACTCAACAAGCGAAGGGCTGAATGCCCTGAAAAGTGTCTCTAGGATGCATAGTCTGACCTCGTTTTTGAATAAACTTTTGCAGGCATCTAGAGGTATGGCCTGTTTATTACAGAACGGGATGGTTTGTAACGATCCCTCCGAAGTTTGTGAACTATTCAGCGAATCCTTCGTAAAATGTAGTCCTAGCACACTTAACTCCTCCACTTTTATGCTTCTCACTACAGGTTCATGCGCTAATGTGAATTTTACTGTCAAAAGTATCACGTAGGCTATCATAAACTTGCGGCTATCAGCAGGAACGGGGAATAGGCAACGTAAATTCAATTGTCATCAGGAACAGCTGTGACGATATGTCTTTCTTATTCACCCTATCAATGGAAAGTGGCGCATACCCATTGAATGGAAAACTGGCTACATAACGCCTTACTACAAGCCCAGGGACAAATCGAGCGCCAATAATTGCGGACCCATCAATGTGACACCTGTCGTCTCTAGAACTATGGAAAAAGTAAACAGGAGCAGCGTCCCTGATAACCTATTAACAGAAAACCTAATCACAAACTCTCGGCATGGTTTTATAAAAAGAATAGATCCTACGTTACTTGTCGTTCCAATTTATCCAACCTTATCACTGGTAGCCTCTAGGCACGAAAAGTCTTCATTGTTCTGTACTTCAGTATACCAAAGGCATTTGACAAGGTGCTACACAGTATACTTCCGGACAAACCACAATCGATCGGGATTCGTGACCCGTTACCTCGTTGGCTAAAATCATTTCCTGGTGATAGTAGTAAATCCTATTCAGTCCAAAAGCAGGCCTATAACTAGTGTGCTTGGGCCCCTGTTGCTCATATCTTATATTACCAGTGTGTGCAAGTGCTTCACCTAAGGGGAAACATTCCTACACGCCGGTGATCTTAAGTCTGTGTGCTCATGTCACATCCATGAACTAAGCAATACGCTATCTACTGCTCAACAACGATTAGGTGAGGTTGATAAACGGTGTGACGAGTCCCATTTCAAGTTTAACATCGATAAATGTGGTTGGCTTAGCGCAGGCAGCGATAACCTAAAACTTTCTCTCCCTAAGTATGTCGACGAAATCTACTGGACGTTCTCCAGTGCTAGATCTTGGTTTCAGATGTTGCAGTGACTTTACATTCTCCGAGCAAACAGCGTGTATCACATCTAAGTCATTCGAACTCCCTGGATGCATCATACGTGCCTTTTGTGGTGCTGAAACAGGGATCCTACTCTAAGGGTGTAGGCAACCTTCCAACTTTGGAATACTGCCCCTTTGTCCCAAGTGGCCTTCGTATGAGCGACAATGGAGGAGATGAAGGGGCACAACGCTACTTTACATTGAGAGCACTAGGAACTGACTGCTGCCTAGGCTACATCTCCGGATGCAAGATGCTAGGGCTGGAAACTCTCTGAAGGGGCAACTTGAAATGAGTCCCATATTTTACCATTAATTAATTCGCGAGAAAATGCACCCACGTCGCTTGGAAATTAAAATGGTTGTAACATCTACTCGCTAATTACGCGATCACAATCTACCGGCTGAAAATGAGTGGAACCAGATTGTGGAGAAATTTCTTCCCAATAAGTTTCACATCTGGAATCGGCTTCCTGAGGACATACGTACTGCAGGTTCATTATGTCTTTCGTTCCTCATTTAATAAGCTCTTGTCAGATGATGAGTCCATCGCTCACCTAGGCACTGTCTATGCGTCCTGGGCTGATGAAAACATGCTGGGACCTCAAAATGTATAGGGTAAGACCATCACACATCTCAATTACCTTTTACTTTAATGGACCCACAAGGGTGTCTGACTACTAGTTCATCTGGTTGTATTGTGCAGCGCAAATGCATGGTCAGTGTTCTCTTTAAGTTTACTGACGAAAACTGCAGATCTAATAACTCGCGTGGACTCCATGTAAGAAAAACAGGATAGTCGTTCTGTTATACATAAATTGAAGTGTACATATAGTTCGAATGATTCTAAAGGGACAAGAACTCTCCTTCCAGTTTTGTTTTGCGTGGTATTCCGTTGTCCAGTTTTTCCTTGCGCCTTCTTTTCTCCCCAGTTTTCAGTATCGGCCAGAGGAGAAAATCCTAAGCATTAATCTGATCATGAGGTATCAACTTACTGAGAATCCTACTCCGTACATGATATTGAAAACTGATGTTGGAGTTATTCAACTGGCTTGCTCTTCGAATTCCTGTTTCTTGATCAGCTATACAATCAACTCACCTCCCTATTAGTACCCTTAGTGCTACCACATACGAAACCTCGAGCACAATGACTGATCTCCGATTTCTGGTCCGTCAAGAATGAAGTGGAAATCTTGAGAAACACCTAAATTCGAGAGACTGCTTTACCTAACGGCAACATATCCATAATAACGCTTTGCAACAGATTTCTCTGGCACGTCGTCTTGTGTGAATCTATCTGACAGAGGTCAACTAACGGCCAATGTATCTCCTTGACAATGCTGCATACTCAGTGCGAAACCTATGAAGTTCTGCATAAGTGGAACTTTCGCCATTTTTGGACAATGATTCTTCCAGTCTTTAATTACTTGGATCACAACAAATATTTTCAGCATCATCAATCTGAATTGCTGGGAAAGATAACACTTGAAGAGTGAGAAATGCTTGAACCCGGGTTGTTCTATTATACACAAATTAGATATTCACCTGGGTCAAATGACTGTTAGGATACTAACTTATTTCAGAAATCATTGAAGTAAGTTATTACTAGTCAATAAAGCTACGAACACAAGAATTGCTGTTGGGACAGACGTTTATCTGACCAAACACTGGGTTTTGCACGCGAACCAATGATGCTGACCGCGTATAAAAAATACATATCCTGCATGAAGCGTAATTGTTGCTGAAGATAATCCTGCCGTATATTAACACTGGGCTGTTCGTCACTTTGAATAAAGGTATACTAGCCCCAGTAATATATGCTCGTTTCAGCAAGATGTCAACCGTGCGCCTACACTTAGATACAAAAGACTGAGAATATTCTTTATATGTTATGTTCCGAGAATACGTAACACCTAAATCACTCACTGCTAAATGACTGCAGCGCAGAATCGCCATGGTTTCAACCGATGTTTGGGTAAAACTTATCAAAATAGAGGATTCCTCACTCACTGGAGTCAAATGGAAGTTGCCATATTTTGCTCCAAGTGAACAAATTCTTCAATTAACCCTGAATCCCATCAAAACTGTTACCTATTGATGAGCAGGGGGACCCATGTACCTTCTTTAAGCCACCGGCAAACAGGTAGGCCTCGTCTCATTTTGTTACGTCAGGGATATCGTTTTGTAACCGAGGGTCTGTAAGTGCCTCAACACTCTACCTTGAATGACACCACTCAAAAGAGGTCTTGGAATGACAGGTGTGATTGAATCTCGTTACTTTAGGGTGCCGTCTAAAGAATGAGCCGATTCAATGTAATAAGGGGTTACCGTTTCCAAATGATTCAAGCTTTGGAGTTAACCGTCTATAGGGCACCCTGCCTAATGTTTTCCTGGAGTCAAAAATAGAGCAATTGCGAAAAGACTCCCACCATACTCGCTAGTGGCTTCCATAGAGTCATCCAGTAAGCAAGTACAACATGAACTCGTGCTGAATTCGAGAAAGCAGCTGATACATGGCAATATAACCAGTAATTCCCAGCACGGAAACCTTCTGCATGATACGGGAGGCTACAAGTGCAATATTTGCTAGGCGGTGGTCTTGAATATCTGGCGTTGGACCAGACTTATACTCAGGAAACATGTATGAAAGCCTCCAGCAGTCGGGTGGCGTGCCTCAGTAAAGAATATTGAGAGGGTCTTTGTGGGGATCAGTGGCACTTCTTCGCTACCCCTCTTTAGGAAAATAGAATGAAATCCATCATGTCCGGCAATATGCTAGTTCTTAGGTGAGAAAACTGCACCAGCAGTCCTACGCTGCGTATAGAAAACGCCGCTTAAGTAATGGCCTGGTGAGATAGGTACTTATGTGTCCGATACATCACCTTCACGCATGAAGCAGCCTGCAAAATGATTACCGAACAGCCCGCAGGTCTTGCTTGGGTCATCGTAGAGAACTTCGCCATCAATGACACGATTATCAGGGATCACGCTTGACAAGCTTGGGTGGGGCCTTAAAATTCCCAGTGAAGGCTGGATGTTGTCTGTTTGTGTACCGCAGTCACATTCTTGTTTGATTGGGTCCGGCAACTTATTCGATTTGAAGTTTTCGTGTGCAATTTTTAATGAGGTAAGGGCTAAAATGTCATTAAATAAGTAAACAAACGAATAAATGTTTTATCCTCAGGCTATGAATTCAATGTTAGAGCAGCCGGTTCACAGGTATCGTCGAATTGAATTTGAGGGTTTTTGGAGATCTAGCTATTTTTCGAGTTGGTGTCCAGTTGGTCCATTGTTCATTGGTAACAAGCTTCGGGAGGTGGTTCCTGAAGTTGCAATGAGAAGTCGTGGCTGGTGGAGCAAAGCTGGTGGTCGTGAGGACAGATCCTGAACAATGCAGTTGGGCGATGATCGCTCTATGTCATGGATTGACAGACGTTGGGTATGTGAACCACTGGATTGAGACCCAGCGCCTCAAGGGTAACGTGCTGGCCACAAAACCTGAAGGTCCGTGGTAAGACGCCCCACAAAGTCATGAGCGAGCAGTGCTGGGGAGTTCAACACCGAGATGAAATGGCTGTCAAGAGCCCCCCGGGCTCCTTCAAACTGGTGCCAGTCCACGATGAACACTGAGGTAAAAATCATCAATTTGATTATGTTTGAGAAACCTGCGGCATTTGAGAGGGTCTGAGTGTCACAGAAGGTAAGATGTCCAACTCTGTTATGATGTCAAGTGTCTGATAGCTGTGAAAAAAGCAGGAAAATATCACTTAACAGCACACACACACAGTGTTTCTGAGTTTGATCGTTCCCACTCACCATTCCCTTTTCACACTAAAGTGGCGTCAAATTCGATTAATATTTGATGTCCGTATGGTCCGATGTTTCGTCGAATGAACGTCTGTTTTAAGGGCGATTCTCACGTTCACAGCTTCACTGGTCAACAAGAACTCACTTCAACTTGCACGCTCCGTTGCAGCGTGCTGCAACCAGTACGAACCACAGTAAAATGTTGAACAGGGCACACCTGAATAAAGTTATTGATAACTAAAGTTATACAAGTGTAAAGATAGGAGAACACACTCAGATAGACAGACAGGTTCACGGCATAACCATAACATGCACGTCTAACTATGATCATTAAACCTTTATGTAATCAGTTATTGTGGCCAACAACCTACAATCTAGAAAAATTAGGCGACGTACTCCATTTAACTCTTACCTGAGGACAGGCCAGAAATCGCTGTATCTGCGTCCGCTTTAAAAGAGTAAGCAGTTCCTTGCTAATGTTGGCGCGAGGA